AATTTTTAATTTGCTGAGTAAATTGTATTTTTGAATTATAAAAATTCGATTAAAAACTTTGATTGCATACAAGAAGATAATGAATGATAAATGAAACACATAACACAAAGCGAAATCTTTTATGCATGTAATATATTGTTTGAATAAAAAATTTGAATAAAAAAATGAAAAAATTAATAGTATTATAAAGTGACACTGTATACCAGTGTCTGCCAGATAGTAAAGGTTGCAATATCTTTTCTAGAAATAATGGTACTCAATAATCTGATGATTAATGAATCTCTTATTAGGTTTTATTTATTCATGGAATCAGCAATTTAGTAAAGTTAAATTATTGAAAGAACGACAAAAATTATTTTATTGCCAATCGTCTAAATTTTTAACTTAAATTTATTATATCATAAACCTTGTCCTACTGAGGCTCGTGTATAAAAATATAAAATAAACAATAGCTGCAACAAACAGTTAATAATGATATTTATTCTAAAAGCATGGGTCATTGTATATCAAAAATGTGACAAAGAGAAACCTTGACATGATTCTGATATAAATATAAATAAAATATAAATAATAAGTTTTTGAGTTTCAAATGAACTATTTTTATTTTTGCGTTCCATTTTCATTAAGTACAATTGATATAAATAAAATTGGCAGCAATACTAAATTTTCGAGATGTACATAGAATATTATATTTACAAACAACGTACTGCAAATTAACAATTTTAATATATTTCTATTCATAATTACTTGAATGATAATTATCCTTAAAATTCATAATTTAACAAAATAATGAGTAATACAATGTTTGTTATTGGAAACTAAGGAATAAATTTGTTCAAATAAGTAGTTCTTTGAATAATCGATTCAAAAAAATCAAATTCATTAATAATTAGAAATTAAATAATTTTCAAATATGTAACAGAATTTTGATAAATAATAAATATTATTTATTCAATAGATATCTATCATAAAATTTCTATTAATTCAAAAGTTTTTTTTTTATCTGATTATATGTCAATGTTTCGTTTTTGTAAAATTTATTTATATACTATTTGATTTTATCATTATTTGCCGTTTTAAATTTCTGTAAAGATGAATATTACTTTTATTATTTAAATTCTTTTGAAATAAAGTTATAATAGTTTTCATTTCTTATTGATTTGATTTTCCTATTTCCTTATATCTAATATTAATTTGAAGATATTTCGACAAAGAAATAGGTTTCTTTTAATTTTTATTAAAAAAGTTAATTTAAGAAAATGAATTTTAATTACTATGACAATAGGAATAAATATGATAATATTTATATGATAATGAATAAATATATATATATTTGAATATTGAAACAATATTTATATTGAAACACTTACTATAAAAAATAATAAAAATCTTCAAAAAATATTTAAGCAAACATGCTCTTGTTTGATTAATGTAAAAAAAATTAAAATAAATAAATTGAATAAATAAAAGTTCTTGAATTTTAATATCAACATCTTTGAAATATCGAGACTACAAAATATTTTTTCATATTTTTTAACAATATTTTATTTAAAAATTATTATATTATAGCTTATTTTTAATTTTTGGATAATAGAAATAGATTTTTAAAAAATAATTATTTAGCAATCTATTAAACAAAATTTCTTTAATATTTTAATAAGAAAAAATATTTATGTTCATTAAATTAAAAAATAAAAATTAAAAGTATAATTAATATTCAAATAATTAATGTTCAAAATTACTTCATAATCTGTATATATATATAATATATAAATATAAGACGGATTCAAAAACAGAGAATTTTATTCTTTAATATAATTTATAATTAGAAATTTAATTTTATAACTTTGTGAAACTTTGTTTCAACCACTATTGGCGCTACTATTGTATTCTATACTGAATCGATAAAGTCGCATGTGATATGGAAATGGTAAAAAGATCACGTGACCCCCAAATATCCATGACAAAAAGAAGCATTACAGGAGAAGTCTATTCTATATCTCATATGTGATGAAACTTAGCGTATACTATATGTAGAACAGAAAACGACTATAGAGATCCAGAATGGAGCCGCTTGGCGCGACATGACCCGGCATGGCAATACATAATCCAAGAATGGAAAGACTGGTCGAAGAGCGAAAGAAGCATATGTGTAGTATATATTTGTGCGGCGACGGAGTGGCGCATCCGCGTCGCGATGATCGGCGTGTAGGCGCCGTGCGTTGCGGTGATGCTCGCCGTGACGCGTGGCGCTGCGGCGCTCTGCCGATGTACCAGGAACACAGTGGACTGAAGAGTTACACGAATCTTACGTCCTACCATTTTAATCTATTATGTTCCATCATACGCATCTTCAATCAACGTGACTTAAATTCATGGTTAACAAGAATTTTTCTTATGTATTTACAATTTTTAACATAAAAGAATATTTTTATATCTATTTTTATCTATTTTATATTTATCTATTTAAAAAAACAATAATAAAGAGTAATGATAAGAAAATAACAAAAATATCTAATAATTTTGTTATTTAAAAATAATTAATTACACTTAGGTATGTAAATACTTCATTATGCATAAATATTTTTGCAATTTAATAAAAATATTGTTATTATATCGTAGTACTAATTATTATTATATCATAGTACTTATAATTAAGAGATCAATGAATTTCATCGAGTTGTAGAATATTTATAATGTACTATATGCAAAAATATTTCGCCATAAATGAATATAAATGAATAAATATTTAATTAATCTATGTCAATGAATTTCATTGAGATATAGAATATTTAAAACGTATTATATGATAATATATTTCGTAACAAATGAATAAAAATGAATAATTATTTCATTAATTTATATCTTTGTAAAGTAATAGCAATATTTACTAGTCAACATTGTTTAACAATAATTTTTTTCAATTAATTTATTTCTGATTTTTTGATTTTAGATTTTATTTTACTTTTATATTTTATTTGTGATTTAAAACAGTTCTAATAGATATTTTCATTATGCTTCAATGTTATCAATGTTATCAATATTTTACATAAAAACAAACTTATTATTAATATTTTATTAATGTTTGTTCATACTATTACATGATTTTATAAGAAATTAATCTTAAAATTTTGAATAAATTGTTTCTTTATCAATTTTTATTATATTTATATTTATATATAATCTTTATTATATTTATAAACTTTTAAATTATTATTTATTATTTTCATATTTGATTAACATAAATAATATATTGAAATAATAATTTTTTACTTAATTCCGACATAAAAATACATTTAACCTTAACTTGTATAAAATTAAATTTCGATTGATTTTAATCGTAGCTTTTTAATTTATAATAATTCATATCAAATATTATATTTATTTATATTTATAAGTATATATCATGTTTATGAAGTTAAAAATCAAATTACAAGTTTTTACTAGATTATTATAAATAAAATGGTCGAATTTTGAATAAAATTATTGACGTTTATAATATATTGAAAGTAATAAAATTTGATTTAATAAATTTAATATATTCTATTCGTTGAAAAGCTAAAAAGCTCTATTCATTAAAAATAATACGATTGATTTGTTATTAATATTTATTATTCTTTAATATATTTATTAATTGTAATTTTTTAAACCAATAGGAGACTTTTTTCTTTTTTTAATGCAATCTTTTTTAAAAGTTCTATTTATATTATTATATATTATTTATATTAACAACAATTTTTTATACATTATTATATTAAATTTTAAATCTGTAAAAAAACACTTGAATTTAATATTGAACTATAATGACCACACGCAATTTGTTTCCTTATAATAATATTTAGATATTTATTTTTGAATAATTTTACGACTTGTGAAATCTGCTATTTTCTATACAAACTAATATTTAACTTCTATAATTGCTTCGTATATAATTTGCTATACATAACTTATCTCTTTAAAAAATTCGCATAAATAATAATATATTTATATTTATAAATTTGTATTCACATCTTTATTGTCTTTTTATCTATATCGATTTAATTAATTACCATATTGAAAATAATTGAATTAAAATTAACGTTATTATAAAATAAAAAGATAAACTTTCATACATTCGACGAATAATAAGATTTCAAATATTTAATTTCATTATTTTCAATGATGATATGCATTCAATATTGTAAAAGTATAATTGTCACGTTAGAAGAAACGTTTGATTCGATATAAAATTATAATTGTGATGACGAAAGTGACGACCTATTTTGCGTATTTTAATATAGTATAAACAAATACTAAAGAATGTTATACGTATAAATTCTAAACCGTGGAATAACGAAGTATGATCTGCGAATCGCGGTACCGAATTCAATCGCTGTGTCAGAAGAAAGTATAGGCAATCAGCAGAGCAGCGAAGGTAGAGCCGAGATGAAGTTTACCGCGCGGGACCGCCCGCTCGACGAATCGTTTATCAGGGAAGCACACGAATCGATTGGTCGTCGGTCAACGCAGCGCCTTCCTTAGCCGGATGCTTCCCTACTATCTTGTGATTAACTAAGGTTTAATCAGCTTTATAAGCAACATGCACGCATGATAATCCGCGGTTATCTTTCCGCATTGCTCGATAATCAAACACATTTCGGCTTACCTCTGTAACGATGTATTCCATACGAGAGTGTCACAGTTATGTTCCAATTCGTTTCGTACGATCAATCGCGGCATGTGACGTAGCGCCATGTTGCGTCACGTCAGTTAGACGCAAGACACAATAAGTATATAAGTAACGTATACATACTTCCATACCGTCGCGTCAATCTCGACTAGCAAAGCTCGAGTTTCGTATACTTTCCTGATCGCGGTATTCGTAACGCATTGAACACGATTTTCGCGTAACTTTAAGACAGGATTATAATTGAACAGGAATTGTGAAATTATTTAAAAAATTTTTTCTCGAGAATAAATAGCGCTGGTAGATCTTGATCCTCGTTCTACATTCATCCCTCGATCCTCGAGCATCGATGAAAACAGGTTGACCAGACACTATATAAATTTTCGAGGTGTAATTGGCCAAATAATTTCGCACTGAACCTAGAAACGTAAAAAGAAAGGAGATCCTGGTCAATTATTATTAAACCTTCTTCCCGTAATAATGCGTTGGAGAGAGAACGGTTGCACGCACCGATCTTGCCGAGGAACGCCGATGCCCTCGAGTAACAGAAAAACAACTCTCAGCGTGGCAATCTTTCTTCCTGCCGCCCCCGACTCATGAGAACGTCCTCAGGGCTATACGAGAACCAACGTTCAACGCCTCTTCTCATCCAATGGAACTTCGCTTTCGGCCCATCTTCTCTCCTCCTCTTATCCTCTTCCTCCTCTCCTTCCAGCCAGCTACTACTATCTAATTTTCAATCGTGGTATCGATAATAAAAAATCATTTCCAAGTATAATCGATCCATCGCGCGCGGAAAAACGCAAGAAAAATACGGATGGAACGATTGATCAAGGAGGCAAAAAAAGAAGAAATGATTCTTGGAAACGGACTCGGAAACGGAATTAGCAATCGAAGATAGAGAAAAAGGTGAAACGTACACGTGAAGCAACCGATCGATCGTGGAACACGAGGGGACACGAGAACGATAGGGAGGGAACCGGTAGCTCGGACTGGGAGGAAGAAAGGCTTGGGAATTGTGGTGGGAAGGAGGGGAAAAAGGAAAAAGGAGAGGATGAGCGGCACGTATGCCAGGCATGCGGGTGAGAAACACCAGGGGCGGCTGACCGGCCGATCCGCCCACGTTTAAGATGCGCATCGACATTGCGGACCGTACCGAACCGAACCCAATCCAACCGGACCACACCGTGCCACATGGCATCTCACACTACAATCCAGGATCGGCCTGCGGCGCTCGAACGACCGTGGTAAAACGGTTGGCTGCATCCTCTTTCGAATCGTAGCTGAACAAGCGCCGCGCCGACTTCACGTCCTTTCCTACAAACCACAAGAGAGAGGCGATCATCTCTTCCCTCGGCCAGCACGCGATTCGGGGAACTCGAAATCGAACGCCCCCGCGGGCACACGCTGCCGTCACGCGAGCGTCATTTCTTTGCCGGAAAATGGAAACGCGCATCATCGAGCTATTTGAATCCTTCATTTCGAAGTATATGTATGAATATATAAATAGATGGAAAAAGTAAGAAAATTATGAGAATATATGCTGAGAAATATATGCTCGAGAGAAACAGAAAAAGAAGATTCAATTTATAATTTTGAATAATGGTAAAATATTTAATAAATGAAATATAATTATAATTAAATTTTACGGATCACGATATAAGTCATTTAATTATGGAATTGTAAAAAAAATAATTAATATTTTATAATTTGTAATTTTCTAAATTATTAATATTAATAAAATAAATGATTATCCGAAAAAAAAATAGTAAATGAGATAAATGAGTCATTTAAATTTTTAAATTTTTGAGATATTTTGAATAATTTGAGATATTATTTTTTTTTTTTGTTTTAATTTTTAATTTGTAAAGAATTGATCATTATTTAATTATTATTCTAAATTTTTTTTATATTTTCTAGGCATTGATAATTATTAGTAATAAATCATTATTTTACTTATCTATTTCTAATTTTTCGCATCTTTAATTAATTTACTCGTAAATTTTTATAAGCAATAAAACCTTTTAAAAATTAGAAAAGAATTTAACGAATCACTATTTTTTAACACTTTTTATAATAAAAATAAAAAAATTATACTATTTTATATAATATTTATTAATACTTTCAACAAATATTTTTTATACTTTTAAAAAAGATTATTGCAACGATTTATATAGATGAACAAAGATTTAAAAATATATTTATTATAATACGTATTATCTTAAAAATATAATAATTTAATTATTTCATATTTATTTTTTAATTTTTAAAAATTTAATTGTTTATTGGTTGAAGAAAGACGTACCATAATTGGATCGTTTAATTTTTTTTCATCAACTTCTAAATATTGATTAAAAATATTTATCGCTTCATTCATCAAATGAAATTTAAAATTTTATTATTTCAAATAATAAATAAATACAACAATTATATTATATTGACATATTACATGCTATATTTTACTTTTTATAAGTTTAAATATATATATTTTATATAATAAAAATATATTATAACTAAATAAATGATTTCATTTTTTATGTGCATTTATCTATTTAATATATATAAAATAGATATCATAATCTAAAAATGTTTCTACATATTCGTCATACTTATAATGTCATACTTGCCAGACTGAAGAATCTGACGACTGAGACAAACTAAATTTATTTTTAGTTTCAGTCTTTTAGCAACTAAAATTAAATTAGATGTTATCCATTTAATCTTTGTGCTATTTTTTCCTGCAGAAAGATGTTTGAATTTCAAAACAGAAACTTAGATTGTACAGATATATAATGTATTATGATAATATAGTTATTAAATATGAAGTTGAAATATACATTGAAATATACGTAAAGGAAATATTATTTTACTTATAATATAAAAATGAAAAATATAGATAAAAAATTTTTTTTCGCTAATATTATTGAAACACAAATTTAATAATAAAATTTATTAATAAAATAACTAGACGACAAGTATTTTTTTCTACATAACAAAATTTTTTTATTAATTTTTATTATTAAATTTATAAAAATAATTTTTTCCTTCCATTAAATCCTTTTTATTGTAAACATTTTTTAAAATTTTGATTGTTTACCAACTTTAGTTCAAAATATAAAAAAACAAAGAAATCAATATTTCTCTATTTATCCGATAGACGATACATTACGATTTTCCTCTACTTATCATAGATCTGGCGAATTATTCCTTTAATAACGATGTATTTTAATTAGATATCGTTAAGATAATCTGAGGTAAAAAATTAATGAGAGATAGTACTACATTGCTGCTCGTGTGCTCGATCACCTTCCGGTTTCGAAGCACCAACCAGGCAAATTCGACACTGCCGCTCGCGCCCACCTGTCGGAACACTGGCCTTTGAAATTTCCTCATTCGGACCGTTGCCTGTTCAGGCTTGGTCAAAAATTTGCACCTGACAGAGGCAGATCGGTCGAAGATAATAAAGCTTAGAATCAACGTGAATCGAAATGAATCTATTGTCATTGTTATCTCTACTTAATTTTGACAATTATTTTATACTGAAATTTTGTTTCTCGGACTTCTAAGTATTCGAATTTATTCTAGATATCTATATACAAATTAGATTATTATTAATATACAAATTATTATTATATTATTATATACAAATTAGATTAGATTATTAAATAATATATAATATAATTATATTATTATTATAAATTATTCATCTATATATTATTAAATATTAATTGAATATTCCTTTATGATTATAATGATTATAATTAAGATTTTAATATCGAAGTATTCAAAGATTTCGGATATTTTTCATATTCACATTCTATTCTCAAAATGGAATATCTAGATAATAAGAAATTCTTTATCTCTTCTTTATATCAATATCTATACAAGAAGTTATTTTTCTATCTTTCTAAAGATTAGGTATTCAAACCTCGACTACTAACCAGCCTTCGTCAAACAGTACCATAAAAGTACACTACCACGTGAACGAGATCAATTTCACGTTTTGGCAACACCTGACACGCGTCCTGTGTTCTTCCCAAGCAATTTTGTTCCTCGAGAAGGCAAGTCGCGCGATCGTTACCAACGACACGGCTATCCTTTCACGATCACCTGCTCTTTCAGCGTATGCAATTTTGTTACGCCTCCTGTTCACTGCTCGCGCCGAGAAAAAAAGGCACAAAAGTTATCCGACGCTTGAACAACATGCCCCGTTCGACTTTGAAACCAATTAAGACTTCCGATAATGTTGGTCGCGCATCTGCGTCCAGCATTCACCTTCCCCATTCCATTCTCCTTTCAAGAAGAATTCGTTCATGCTCGCTATTCTATGCGGTAAACGGTGCACCGCGAAACTCATGATGGAAGAAAAAACCACGTGAACGAGATACATCACAGCGCCGCGCCACGGCGTGACACGACAAGTCTCAAGATAAAAGATAGGAAAGTAAAACGGTGCCAGCTATGCTAGTCTTGCACGCTACGTTTTACGCTCAAACTGTAGGCGTAACATCTCGGATCGAGGAAACGTACCCACGCTACGCCATAAATAATACTTTTTTTAAGAAACGTATTGAAAATCAAATAAACATAACGATTTTCTAAAAAAAAAAAAAACAAATAAGAATAAATAAAAATATGATCGTATTTATTTATACATTTTATTTAATCAATTAAGTAAAAAATATTATGGAAAAAGCAAAAGAAAAAAACGTGAATGAGATCTGGTTAAGTTGGATCGAATACTAGAGTGATGTAGATATATGTTACGAATAAAGTTAGGAACGTGGGTAAACCTAGCATGACCCCGGTAAGCTTAGGATTACTCATGATCCATGGATAAAGTTTGAAGCGTGCATTGTTATGTATATGTGTATTGTTATGTTCTGGCATGGGTGGCCTTTTCACCGTATTTTTGTGTAGCCCCAATTTGTTACCAATTTATCATTAAAAGATAGCATCGTCTTTAAACAAATTTTTATTTGAGCTAGATAATACGGTCACCTGTGCCACATCTGTAGTTCTTAATAATATTCTTAATAATATTTCAAGTTCATTGAAATCGGTGAGGAGGTAACATTTTATTTATTTATAATATATTATATGTCTTTGTTTAATCGATAAAATATCATGGCCTGGCATACCTTGAAAGTTCGAGACACGTTATTATTTCAATTAAACTTGTGACTTTACCTATGGATCGTCAGTAATCCTAAGTTTATCCGCATAATGCCAGATTTACCCACTCTCTTTACCCATAATATATACGTGTACACGATTTCGGAGAATGGTTGTGAAGTTGGCCGCGGCCGCGACACGATCCGAGTAGCTGGAATCGCACAGTCACGCTGGCGCCAGTCGTATCGGTAACTCTATATCGATTCAAAGGCACGGTTGTCGACTCTTGCAGCCCCAGCGGGGATATACGGCCGCCCAGTTAGCCGAGCACCAATGTATTTATACGAAGCTGCCCGAGGTATATACATCTGTTTCCATCCGGGCACGTGTCAACCACGAAATTAGAACGGTCGGGAAAAGGAAAGACGGGAAAACGAGCCAAATTGAGCATAGCGAAAACTTATGAATACTTGTAATCGAAGAAATTGAAACGATGTACTTACGATCGAATTTTCTCATCTCATTTACACTTTCTGTTCAAACTCGATTCGTTACGAGAAATGAAAATTATGAAACAAAATATCTCATTATTTTTAATAGATGATTTAATGTAAAATGATTTAATTTCTTTTCTTTTATATATATATATAACTAATCAAATATTTATTTATTGAACAATAATTTCTATCATCGCGTTTATGTTCTTTTATGTGAAATGGAGAATGAGATGTGGCAGAGGGTTACACGAGATCGCATACTTTCCTGTCCTCTTGTGTTCGTGTTCGAATGTATAGTAAATATACATACATACTTAATCTCGCATGGCATACATACAGGCATGTCGATTCGTTGCAGCGAAAGCTTCGACTTTCCCACGTATATAAGTGGATGATTCCCATTTGCTTCTGTGAAAGCAGGGAATGAGAAAACAGTGAAGCTGGCATAAATGGCGCGTATACATGTTGTGTATACATATATATATATATATTTTATACAAGAAGTTTTCTCGACAAAGAGAAAGATTAATATATTACAAATATTGCGAGCTGTTTCAAACCGTCGCGACGTCCGATTACGTGTGTGAGGTAGCTTTTAAATGAGCATGTGGCGCCAGATGTCGCGCCTCGTGATCTTTATAGCAAAATACCGCTCCTCGTTCGATCGTGAGTGCACACTCGACACACGACACATGGTCTCTCCTTCATACACTTATTCTCTTGCTCGCACACGTTTGGCAAATGCCGAGAACGCAGAGACCGTCTTGGCTTCGTATCGATAGATCGTATTGCGTTTCATAACGACAATGATAAAAACAACTTTTTATGTGCAATCGGTTAGCCATTTTGATCGTCATTTTCTTCTTCAACATTCGTTAAAAATATACAATGTAAATTAATGCATATAGCCAAAAGTTTAAAGCTTCGC